CCTGTCTGATGTTGACTGGCACCAGAGTTCATGGGCTGGGGCCAGGAGAGAGGGCACTTCTACCCCATAGAGTCCAAGTCTGCAGAGATGGAGGGAGGCGGCGCTGGGAGCCCTGGTGGGATGACCGGGGCGTTTCAGCACCACGGACAGTAGCCAGCCCCCTCTCTCCCCAGCCCACCCCCAGCAGCCCGGCGCAGGGATAGGTGGAGGAGGGAGCAGGGAGGGAGGGCCAAGTGAGCAGGCAGGGAGGGAGGGCCAAGTGAGCAGGCAGGGAGGGAGGGCCAAGTGAGCAGGCCCTGGGGTGTGGTCCCAGGGCCTGCTTGAGGAAGATCCCAGCCAACGCTGATACCAGCGCCTCGGGCCCTTGCCTCCCTCTGCAGTGGTCCCCCTGCTCACCCTGGTGATCAACTCCATGGGCCTGCAGGCCCCCGGCCGCCTCCACTCAATGGAGCTCCCACACAGCTCAGGGCGGCCCCTCCTGACCCTGCCCACAAGTCCGCTCTCCAGCGGCTCCACCCATCAGCTGTGGAGCCGGTCAGCCTTCCACGCCCCCCAGGAGAGCTTCTACCTCAAGGTGAAGGTCAAGGACCATGAGGGAAACCCCCTCCTCCGTGTCTCGGGAGTGTCTCATAGGAGGTATCTCTTTTGTCCCTTAGCTTCGTGGCTCACTCAGAGCCCTTCTGAAGCCTTCTCTGGTAAGATTAGAAAGTGATTGCTCACTAAGCTTCTGGGGACAGTTACTCCCTGTAAGGCATTCTGATAAATACTGAGATGCTTCAGATGTGGCCTTCAATGCAAGTATTTGGAACAAAGTCATCTACAAGGTGCACATCAGAAGGACCAGGCTTGGTAAATTTTTTTTCCAACCAATACTGCTCACTGTGACTGAGGCCCCAAGTCTAACAAGGGGAGGGTGGGAGTGGCCATCCCTCTAGGAGGGGTCTTCAGCACAGAGTACATGGGTGTGTGTGGGGGGGCGGGGCTTGGTTATGTTGATCGGCAAAGGGCCCCTTTTTTTGTTTTTGGTTTTTTGTTTTTTTGAGTTGGAGTCTCACTCTGTCGCCCAGACTGGAGTGCAATGGCCGCTCCCGGCCACCGCAGCATCGACCTGCTGGGCTGCGGCGATCCTTCCGCCTCAGCTTTTCAGCTGGAACTACAGTCATGCGCTGCCACACCCGGCTAATTTTTGATTTATTGTAGAGATGCGGTCTCGCCAAGTTGCCCAGGCGGGTCTCGAACCCTCAGGCTCAGGCAATCCACTCACCTCAGCCTCCTGAAGGTGTGTGGGATTACAGGCTGAGCCACAAGGGCCCTTTGAAGAGGACCCCCTGGTAAAAGTCTGTGATAGGTAATCTACACAGGGAAAAGAGTAGGCACAAATGCCCCGAGGCAGGGAAGTAGCTGTGTGGCACGAGAGGGGTTGGTAGCAGTTAAAGGTATTTTCTTTTGAAAGCCAACCAGCAAGCTCTAAAGACCTGCCAAGCTGGTTTTGTTTAAAAAGGCCAAATGGCTAGAGACTGGTGGCTCTCATGGAAATGCAAAAGAGTAACGAATTCGCAGACTTATCCAAAACCCTTCTGAAGTTGATGATTTACAACCCTGCAGTTCCTGGAAATCATTTGTTCTTCTAAAATCTGATTTTTCTGAACACCACCTTGTAAATTCCAAAGATGTGTAATCGCTCAACACGACCCCCCCTCCCTTACCTAAACAAAGGTATAAGACCCGCTTCTCCCATTCTGCAGGACTCGATTTGGATGCATTAGCCTTTGAGCCCGCTGGCGTAATGCAGTTGCCACTTCCTATAATAGCCTCAGTGTCACGGTCCCTCTATTTTTCCCACTACAGCTGGAGTGTCTCCAGATTTTACCTTTCTCGGGCTCTCGAGCAGGGGAGGTAGGGCTGGAGCTGGGGAGGCCTCTGGACAAAGCTTCCTGAAGATTCTATGCTGAAAAAACGCCTCTCCTATTTTCTTTACATATCTGGACCTGCTGTTGTTTTGACAGTCCAGTGTTACAATTTTATTTATTAGATTTTTCATTAGTGTTTATCCTGGAGGCTACAAGGACTTTGTATCCAGTGGTTTTAGGGGGAAGAGGCAAATCTTGCTGCTGTTCCCCGGGTCAGAGGGCAGAGGATCGGGATTTTTGTTAGTTTCGCCCTCAGGGACGAAGTGCCACAGTTGCTTGGCCTGCAGAAACCTAGCTCTTGCTGAAATAGAATCGAGTCTCATTTCAAGCATAAACTTCACTAATTTTAGAATCTGACAGTTCCTCTGTATTGGAGGTCCGAGTTCAGAAAGGGTAGGAGTAAGTTGTAGTTAATAATTAGAATCAGGAAAGGCTTCACAATAAATTAGAGACTTAAACAAGTTGACAAAAACCATCAACATCATATCTAGAAAAATAACATCTTATCAATTGTCTTAACACCATTCCTATAGTAATTTTTCCTACTATACTCTTTGATCAACTCTTCATATGATAGCAATTTTGTCATTTTATTTTCTAGTGAAAGAATAGACAAATATTTCAGTTTCTCCTGTCTTCACTACTTGACTTTTTTTTTTGTTTTCTTGCTGTTGTTGTTTTTAATTTCCTTCTTCATTATTGCATGATCATGAAAATGTTTAGGTTTCTGGGTCAAATCTCAAAAAATCTCAGACATTTTTACTTGTGTACCATAAAAGTTCAGAGTACTAACATTTGTATTTTGTACAGTGTCTAATCTTATACTCAATTAATTACACTGATCAACCAGTTTGTGTTTGGCATTCTCCTTATAGTGGCCTATTATGTATTTGATATCATCTTCAGCTGTGTCCATGTTTTACATAAAATAAGCAGAAAATTTGAGTTTGTATTAATTGCATTACAAAATAATTTACAAACTTTAATTATGAGTTTTAGAAATCCATTTCCTTTTCTTAATGAATCCTGCTAATGGTATACTTTTAATATTTTGTTGCAATTTGCCTCCAAATATCAGAATTATTTCTCTTAAATTTATAGCTTATTTTATTGTTTGTTTCACATTCTATTAATTGTATGGAATCTCTCTCAATCTTTAAGAGATACGCTTGAAAAGATACTCATTTTATATTGACTAATAAAATTATAAATACTTAGGAGATACATCATTATGTTTTGATACAGGCACACATTGTGAAATGAGCTGATTAATATATGCATTCCCTCACATACCTGTCACCTTTTGTATGATGAGAACAGTTGAAATGTCCTGTCTTAGCAATTTTCAAGTATACAATGCCTTGTTGTTTCCTGTAGTCACCATGCTATGCAACCTACTTCTCCTGTCTAGATAAAACTTTGTATGCTTTGATGTTCCTCTACTTTGCTCCCCCACCTCCCCCCCCCCCACCCGCCGCACTGGGACTACCATTCTACTCTCTGCTTCTATGAGTTTGAGTTTTGTATTCCACATATAAGAGAAGATCAAAGAAGGTTTGCTTTATTTATGTTCAATCCAGGAACCTGTACCTTCTTCCTTTTTCTTCATCATGTTCAAAAACGGACTTGCAAACTCAATATACAGGCAGCCAACAGACACATGAAAAAGTGCTCAGCCTCACTCATCATCAGAGAAATGCAAATCAAAACCACACTGAGATACCACCTAACCCCAGTAAGAATGCTCATCATTAATGAAACAAACAACAACAGATGCTGGCAAGGATGCAGAGAAAAAGAAATGCTTCCACACTGCAGGTGGGGATTCAAGCTAGTGCAACCTCTTTGGAAAACAGTGTGGTGATTTCTAAAAGAACTAGACATTGACCTTTCATATGGCCTAACAATCCCCCTATTGGGAATATACTCGGAGGAATGCAAATCATCCTACAAAAAACATACCTGCATATGCAAGCTTATTACAGCATTATTCACAATAGCAAAAACATGAACCCAGTCACACTGCCCATCAAAATTGTACTGGACAAAAAAAGTGGTACATATACACAATGGAATATTATGCAGCCACAAAGAAGGAAAAACATGGACTTTGCAGCAACTTAGATTGATTTAGAGTCAATAATCCTCAGTGATCTATTACAAAAGCAAAGAACAGAGAAGAAGAAGAAAAAGAGAAGGAAAGAAAGAGAAGCAAAGAAGGAAGGAAAGAAAGAAAGAAGAGGGAAAGAAGGAAAGAGAGAAAGAAGAATGAGGGAGGGGGGAGTAACTTGGGGTACAAGGTAGTGAATGGGAAGCAGTAGAAAACAGAAAAGAAACCCCAGGAGAGAAATCTCTGAGACCCAAGTTCCCCAGAGACATCTGGTTGACCCTGGTACCAGACATGGTCCCCTTGCAGACAACTGGTCGACCCCAGGAGATGATGGTGTCTGAGAGCCAAGTTTTGTGCAGTCTGCTGTTGGACCTGGGATATGGGGTGGGGAGGAGTGTGAGGGTGCTGCCCAGCATGACCCACTCCCCCCCACGGTGGGGAAGCAGGCTGCGGCCCAGACGGCCGCCCCCTGGCACCCACAGCACCTTTACTATCACAAACGCAACTGCCCTCATGCCCCCCACCACCCCGCCTCCCTGATTTAGGTAACAAATGTTGTTCTACAGCATTTTCTAATGAGTTTTCTGGTTGAATGTTCGCTTCTTTGACAAGATGACAAACTTAGAGTAAGAGCAGCATTTTCTGTGACTGCCCCATGACCCTCATCCTCAAGACCTTGCAAAAGATCAGGCACAGAAACATTTAATCCTTTAAAAATGTAAGTGCCCAAAGCAGTAGGAACTGACTCAAGCTTCAAGAAGTAGCTGTGAGGACAGGGTGGCAGGAAATGACAGAAAACCTGAATACAGAACTGAAGCAGCAGCTCGGAGTTTCTTGCCTTGAAGTGACAACAGCCAGAGAGGGAGCTGGGTGTGGATGGGGGAGCCGGGTGCTCAGAGCAGATGCTGACACTAGTGGAGGCGGGTAATCTGAGTATTGGGAGTGTCGCAAGGCACAGGGCCAGAGGAACCAACCGGCTCTTAGTCCACGGTGGGGGCAAGGTCTTCACTGGTAGACTTTTGACCTTTTATGTCCAGAAGGTCTGGCTGTGGGCGGTGTCGAGAATCAGCAACTGGGGTGGAAACAGAAGGGAGGGTCCTGAGCCCCAGGTACAGGACTCCACAGCCCTCTAGAACCCTAGACCAAGCAAAGAGTTGCCTGGTGCCTGCTGAGAGTCTACAACCCACTTTCAGGCCTGTTGTGCCTTGGCACAGAGTTGAGTGGAGGACCACAGGGATGAAGGCAAGGTCTGCCCTTGGGGAGTGCATGATCTCACGGGAGACAGCACGTAGGAAATGTGACAGGTCAGGAAGCAGTGGCTACTGTACATTAGTGCTGAGGACCAAGTGCTGCTGGAGGATGTTTGAAGGCGCCACGGAACCCTGGGGTTAGTTTCTGTGATGGTAGGATCACAGACTCTCAGAATGTCAGAAATGGAGGGGACTTTGCAGATCGGCCAGATCGGCCAAGTTAGCTCTTCTTCCATTTTCCCAGTGAATCAGAGGTAATCAGTGATTTGCCAAGTTATTTAAGTTAACATTTGTGAATTATCTAGTCTGGTACCTAGAGACTGAGAACACCCCCCTCTATGTCAATGTGCTTACCATGATCCCTCAATGGTTCACAGAGTTGAGGTGGTCACAGGCTCTTCTGACTCCCAGTTCCTGCACTTTGCCAATGCACTAAGCCAGCCTCGTGAAGAGGCCCTTGGTCGTGCCTGACGTCTGGGCACTAGGCCTCACCAGATGACTCTCCAGTCCCCACCTCTAGATAGCTCCTCTGGCCTTCCTGATTTCTGGTCACGGGGTCAAGGATCTGAAGTTGCCTCTGCTTCAGAACCTCTTAACCAGGCCAATGCTACTGTGTTGTTCTGGGGACTTTCTATTTAACAGTATTTCCTTTGGGGATGGGCTTTCGTGACTGGCACTCTCCTGTGGGAGGGAGCAGTGGGCACTGTGTCCGGTGCTTGGCCTGAGTCCAAGCAGCATAAAGTAACAGGCAAAGCTCTTTCACTTGAGCTGCATTTACATGGTTGGGGGTTCATGCATGACGGCAGAGGCTGTCCTTTCAAAGGACTATTTTGATGGCATAATTGTTGATGGCATCTGCCCCTCTACTTTTGAGACAGAGAAAGGATAGGACTTTGCTTCCCTCATGTAGCTCACCACCAGGTTTTGCAGCGACGCTCCAGCTAGAGCCATTCTACAGACCACAACCTTAAAAATTTACTACAACAGGCAATGTTTTACCATGAATCTTGTTTTGGACAATAGATCCCAGTCCACTGCTCACCCACATGTGAACAAGGCACAGAGAGTGTCTGATTGCAACACTTGCTTCATTATAATAATAAAAACCCCAGCTAGACACAGAGGCTCAGGACTGTAATCCCCATACTTTGGGAGGAAGAGGCAGGAGGATATATTGAGCCTGGAAGTTTGTGACTAGCCTAGGAAACATGAGGAAACTTCATCGCTATGAAAAATACAAAAGGAAATACCTTTAACTGCTATCAACCCCCTTTCTGCCACATTTTCCCCCTTGATGCTTGATGCATTATTATTCTTAATTTGGTGCATTAACATTATATGGGCCACAGTTTTTTGTTCAACAACTGTTTTCACAAACTTAGAAATGGTGTTTATAATTATTGGGACTATGCAAGGGAGGATAAGACAGGATCCCACCAATAGGACTGTGGCAGAATGTGGTAAATGCTCAAATATATTTCTTGTATGATTAAGTGAATAAACACAGAAACACATGTAGCTGCTTCAGGATCAGCAGTTGGCCTCATGGCAATCACCTGGGATGACAGAATGTCTCCCACTAACCCTGTGGCAGAAAGGGGGGTTGGTAGCAGTTAAAGGTATTTCCTGTTGAAAGCCAAGCGGCAAGCTTTAAAGACCCACCAGGCTGGTTTTGTTTGAAAAGGCCAAATGGCGAAAAACTGACGGCCCTCATGGAAATGCAAAAAGAGTAAGGAATTCACAGACTTATCCAAAACCCCTCTTCTGAAGTTGACGGTTTATAACCCTGCAGTTCTGAAAACCATTTGTTCTTTGAAAAATCTGATTTTACTGAGTACAACCTTGTAAGATTCCAAAGGAAATATGTAATCACTCAACACGACCCCCTCCCTTATCTAAACAAGGATATAAGACCCCACTTCTCCTGTTCTGGGGGGGATTGATTTGGACGCATTAGCCCTCGAGCCCGCTGGCATAATAAAGTTGCCACTTCCCCTAATAGCCTCGGTGTCATGGTCTCTCTATTTTTCCCGCTACAGGACTACAGATTCAATAATATACTTAAATTCTTCTAGACCTGAGAACATGTTTTTAAATTAATTGCCAATTTTTATGCCTTGCCATTTTTGCACTGGGATATGGGCAAGTTTTCTAACATTGGTGGCTATATCAGTTATAACTGATGTTGGGTCCAAGCGTTTGATTCACGGCACTGACACAATTTGCCAAGAGAGAGGTTTATTAGCCAGGTTCGACTGGCCAGGGCCACCCGCCAGACTCACAAGTCTCTAGGCGAGGGCCCCATACTATAGCTAGGGCCTTTCTTAAATATGCAAAAGCCTGCCTAATCCATAAGGCTGTTATAATTCAAATTCAAACAACACAAAGCCCACCAGAAGAGGGGCTTGCCCACCACAATTCAAACAGAGAAAAGCCTGCCAGAATTTGAAAGGGGCTTATTGCACAACATTCACACACTGCCAGGGGGGGTTACAGAAGCAGAAAAAAGCTGGTTAACTTATCTAACATAGCCACTTGGGGTTTCCAAGTAGGGCATTCATTCCAGGGTTTCTAAGAATTACTAAGTTTTAGGGGAGAGGTCACAGCACACAGTTTCAGTATACTTAATATATGAGGTTATAGTTTCATTACATTTCACATAATTCATCACACTTAATGTATAAGGTTTCACACAGGTTCCACACAATTCATCACCTCTTACATTTCCCCCCTTTGAGTTGTTCCTAGAGTTAAATCGTTGACTCTTCATATAGGGGCCTGGCTTGGGTTTTTAGTATCATTAAGTTTGTGGGAGTTAACCTGTGCTTTATGTAATTTAGAAGACTTTTAATTATGCACGGCCCTATGGTCACACATATTAGAACTAAGAGCAGAGGTCCCGCGATGACTGAGACCAAGATTGTGAGCCAGGGAGACCAGGAAAATAAGGATTGATACCAGTTTTCTGAGGCCTGTATTTTTTACTTTCTACATTTAATATTTTCTCTGACTAGGGCAAGAGTTTCTCAGATTATTCCTGATTTGTTGGCATAAAAGCAACAGGTCTCCCCTAGTGCCGCGCATAGTCCTCCTGCTTTCATGAAGAGGAGGTCCAGCCCCCTTCTATTTTGGAGCACTACTTCAGCCAACGAGTCTACCTGTTGTTCTAGCTGGGATATGCTAGTTTCAAGATTTTGGAGATCCGTGTTAACATGTATGCTTAGTTCTTTAAGATTTTGGCTTCCTACAGTTAGGGCTGCTGCACCTAAAGCCGTTGATCCTGCAGTTCCTAACTCTACAAGGAGGGGCACCAAGATGGGGACTCTTTTAGTCCAGGTAGGGGTTAGGAGTTCAAGTTGCTCCCACCCCGCAGGCCCTTCAACAATATATACCTGGGGTAATATGTGTACTAGAATGCAAAGTTCTGAACTGTCTTGGAGGAGCTCTATGGCAACGCATGGAGTTATGCCTCGTGTGCAGGAGAACCAAGTAGTGGGGGGTGCAACAGCCATATAGAGGCTCCCAGGAGTGCTAAACTGGGAGACATTTATTCTAGTAGAGGCCATGCAGGCTTCTCAGTATGGGGAACTTTCTATATTATAGGATGAAGTATGGAGGCAGGTTCCTTGCAGTAATGCAGAGCTGGGCTTTCTTCGCTGACACTCGGTACCCCAGCATTTCCAGTTCCCTCAGGAGGTCTCTGGTGGCCCATAGGCAGTCTTCATTTGTCTCAGCAGCAATAAGCAGGTCATCTACATACTGCAACATGGTTACCTGAGGGTTGCTCCTCTGGAAGAACAGCAGGTCTTCTTGGAGGGCTTCATTGAACAGCTTGGGAGAGTTCTTAATTCCTTGTGGGAGTCGTATCCATGTGAGCTGGTCATGTTGTCCCATCTCCGGGTCTGTCCATTCAAAGGCGAACAAGAGTTGGCTCTGTTTGGGCAATGGGATGCTGAAAAAGGCATCTTTGAGATAAAACATTGTAGACCTGTCGCTCAGAAGGAAGCTCAGTTAAGAGAGTGTACGGATTTGGGACTGTTGGGTGGATGTCCTCCACTTGCTTGTTAACTTTCTGGAGGTCCTGCACTGGATGATAGTCCCTCATACCAGCTTTTCTTACTGGGAGCAACGGCGTGTTCCAAGGTGATTGACAGGGCACCAGAATACTGGCCTCCCAGAAGTGGTGGATATGCCTAGCTATGCCTTTTTGTGCTTCTTGGGATATGGTACTGACAAACCCAGATAGGGCTTGCCTGACTTTTTAGTTGCACCACCACGGGGGGGGGGCGGTGACTTGCCAGCCCAGAAACTGGGGAGCTCACACTGTAGCTGGGTTAGGAGCTCTGAGCCCGGCTCAGGTGATGGAGGTGGCTTACCTTCTGCCAACAGATACTCGTCTCAGAGAGGCACTGTTATGAGGATCTTGGTTGGTTCTTTTAAATCCACTGTCGCTGTAGTTTCCTGAAACCCTATATTTGCTTTGAGTTTACGTAGAAATTCTCGCCCCAAGAGTGGGTACGGGCAGTCAGATATTATCAGGAATGAGTGAGTTACCTCTCCTTTTCCTAGATTTATAATTCTTTCAGTGGTCCAGGGGTATAGTTGAGTCCCAGTTGCCCCCTGTACCAGAATATACTTATTTTGGAGAGGACCATTATATTTTTTGAGAACTGAATGCTCTGCCCTCGTGTCCACGAAGAAGTGGACAGGGTTACCCCCTACCATAAGTTCAGCCCTGGGCTCCGGGGGGCATTAATAGAGTTCTGGCCCCATCAGTCAGATACTAATTAGAGCACTGGAGTTGGTTGCTGTGGCTCCGAGG